GCTGGGCATGACCAGAGAGGTTTGTTTCCTTTCTGAGGTCACACTGTGTTGCCTTTACAGTGCTATTATTTATTTTAATTGGTTCAATAAACCAAATTGCAAAAATAAAGTTCTAGCTTTGCCTCAGCCTTGTGACCCTAGCCAAGTCATCTGACCTCTTCGAGCCGAATTTCTTCAGTTGAGCAACACAGATGCATGATTTCTAAGGCCCTTGTCACCTTTTTGTTTTGTGATTCAAAAATCTTTATTTATGAGCCCAGAACAGGAAGTGGCATGTGGGTCCCACTTCTCAACAGCAGAGAGCATACTGCCCCTAGTGTGCCTGGCCATTTGGTTTTGAAATCTAGCCAGAAGTTGATATCCTTGAGGATAGGAAGGACCCAAGGAAATTCTGTTAATTCGTGTTATGCAAAGGACGTTTCACTACGTATTTCCAATTGTTTAGTACTTAGGTGAAGCACTACGAAAATAGGAGATTTGAAACATTCTAAGGTGCTGTAATTCTGTGAAGAACTTAATCTGCCTTCCGTCTAAGTACTCCATGCTTAGGATTGGTATGCAAATGGATGGAGAAGAGAAGTAACATCTTTTAAGCACGTATATATCAGGAACTATGCCTGGTACTTTAGGTGCATTTTTCGTATCCTCACAGCAATCCTCTAAATTTTATGTTGTTATCCTTATCTTATACAGGAAGATACTAAGGTTCAGAGAGGTTAAGTGATTTGCCCGAGGCTTCACAGAAGAGATTCAAATTCATGTCTGTTAACTCCCAAGTCTACTTTCTTGCCAGTTCCTCTCTCTTTTCCCCAGTCTTAATAATCAAGGACAATTGCTAGGAGCAGAAGTACCTTGGGCACGGCCACACAAGGGAATTTGGCTTTCTCTGGTTCTAAAGTTCTTGTGGCCTTTGTAATTCTAGATGGAAGTGTTTCTCTGGCAAGAACTTTTTATCAGTTATATTAAACATGACTGATACAAATACCCACGTTTTCAAATCTGAAAATTTTAGACTGGATTATTAGTGTTTTTCTTTGTGGGCTGCTTTTAAAGGCCACAGCAATATTTCATTTTACATGAAGACTCAGTTCTGTAGGCAGTGGGTGAGGTGAAAATCATTAGAGCAAAATTATCTTCAAGAATCTCGTGGGAAGGCATCTTGCTCGAGAGCCATGAGCTTTCTTTCTTTAAGTTCTCCCTTGTTGAAACCTGCTGAGCTTCAACAGGTGTTCCTGTGGTGCTTTCTCACATTGAGTGTCAAATGATAGAGTTAGCTTATATTTGGGGGTATGTTCAGTGGTAATTCAAATCTTTAGACACCAGAGTCTCATTCAGCATAGCGAGATGCTTATGGTATTAGGTATTCTGAAACCTAGAACAAGAGAAGGAATAGCACATTAATGTCTTATTTTGATGCTTATTCTAACTCAGTGGTTTTCAAAACTTTACAGAATCGCCTGTAGGGCTTGTTAATAACAGTTTACTGGGTTTTACCCACAGTTTCTGATTCAGTAGTTCTGGGATTCAGCCAGAGGGATTGCATTTCTTTTTTTTTTTCTTTTGAGACGGAGTTTCGCTCTTGTTACCCAGACTGGAGTGCAATGGCGCGATCTAGGCTCACCGCAACCTCTGCTTCCGGGGTTCAGGCAATTCTCCTGTCTCAGCCTCCTGAGTAGCTGGGATTACAGGCACACGCAACCGTGCCCAGCTAATTTTTTCTTTTTTTTTGGTATTTTTAGTAGAGACGGGGTTTCACCATGTTGACCAGGATGGAGGGATTGCATTTCTAACAAGCTCCCAGGTGATGCTGATACTGCTGGTCTGGGGACCACACGTGGAGAACCACTGTACTAACTTAATGCAAGCAGGTGGAAACACTTGTCCATCTTCCTTTCACTATCTGTCTGCTTCTCTTGCCCTTTTATTTTTAGGCTGAGTGGATGTAGTTGAATTAGTTTAAGTTAAATGCAGGGATTGTAGCTCAGCCAACTCTTTTTTTTTTTTTTTGAGACGGAGTTTCGCTCTTGTTACCCAGGCTGGAGTGCAATGGCGCAATCTCGGCTCACCGCAACCTCCGCCTCCTGGGTTCAGGCAATTCTGCCTCAGCCTCCCGAGTAGCTGGGATTACAGGCACGCGCCACCATGCCCAGCTAATTTTTTGTATCTTTAGTAGAGACGGGGTCTCACCATGTTGACCAAGATGGTCTCGATCTCTTGACCTCATGATCCACCCGCCTCGGCCTCCCAAAGTTCAGCCAACTCTTTATCCCATTGCTTAGTTTAGTACTTGTCCCAGAATAAGTGTTCAATAGATGCTTGTTGAGTGAATGATTGAGTAACAGGTATAATGGAAGAGTTTATAGCACATGGACATCATTATAGCATACCTAGTCCATACAAACTGCTTATATTCCTGAAAAGTAGACTGTCTTTAGATTAGAATATATTTTAGGACTACATATGGTGATGATTGTAGATACCAGGAAATATAAAGTTAGGTACAGTTTTGAGACACTTGCATTTTGGGACCTGTGGTATAAATGGGAACTGTGTGTTGATAGAGCTGGGTATAGGAAATCCCATCTGTTTTATAATGACCTAGGCAACTCTTACAGGACCTGGTTTAGGTCAGAACTAAGCGTTGCTCCTGGAAGACTGGAGCAGCACTGAAACAGCCTAGGTCTGATCCAGACTGGGTGCCGCATTCTCACTTCTGTCCTTCCAAAGCACTGAGGAACTCAGCCCCCATAATGCAAAAGACTCAGTGAGACTCCGTACTGTGGGATAACTGTAAATTCAGATAGTTGTACACGAATCTTACCATGTTATAGTATTTGATAAGTAATTTTAAATAGTAAATTCAAAAAACTCAAAGGGTAAAATAATCTAAAAAATATATTTTAAGTTCAGTTTAAGAAATCATTTTCTTATGTAGCCAAAACAATTTCACTTTTAACAAAATGAACAGGCCTTTAGTACAAGTTGAGTATTCATTCTCTGACATGCTTGGGACCAGAAGCATTTCAGATTTTGGAATTTTTTTTTTTTTTTTTTTGATTTTGTAATAGTCACATTGCAGTTACTGATTGAATATCCCTAATCTGAAAATCCAAAATTTGAAATGCTCTAATGAACATTTTCCTTGAGTATCATGTTGGTGCTCAAAAGTTTCAGATTTGGAGAATTTTAATTTTGGATTTTTGGATTAGGGATGTTCAACCTGTATCATTTAATACCCAGTCCATATTAAAATTACACATTTGTTCCTACATTGTCATTTATATCTTATTTGTTCAAACTAGGATCCAGTCCAGGGTCATGTATAATGAATGTCTGGTTATTATGTTCCTTAAAATTCATTTTATCTAAAATAGTCCTTTCTCATGATATTGCCTTGTTAATTGTCCTGTAAAATGTTCTATCTTCAGATTTATCTGTTGTCCCTTTAAAGTATCTTCAACTTGCTCTTTTACCTTTGTATTTCCTGGAACTTGGAAATTAGATCTAAAGGCTGGATTAAGATAAAATGGAACATTTTTGGCAGGAATACATCATAGGGGGTATGTACTTCATCTTTTGCCACATGAGGAGATACATAATCCCTGCCTGCTCTACCATTCATGATACTAACAAAATTGATTACTAGTTTAAAGTGATGATGGCCTGATCCTTCCATTGTAGTTATGTTTTCCCCTTGTGACCAAAGAGTATGCTCTATGGTATTATTTTGATACTAGATGAATGTTAATTTTCATATTATCCATTTTCCTAATGCTTTTAACACCAATTGATAATTCTTGCCTGAATCAGTAACTTCACAGAACTGTCATTATTCTAATTCTGTCATTCCTTCTACATTAGCTGACATTTGACTAAACACAGCTCTTCTTTATTAACTGGGACTATTCAGTGCTGTCAGATACAGTTCTGTTGGACAGGCAGGTTAAATGTTGAATTTTTTACTTTTTAATTCCCAATTTCAAAGTAAGGATTTGATTTAATTGATAACTTAAATGGTGGCAAATGAAACTTTTCCTTGCTTTACTTTTTAAAAATATTTTTGTGGACTAATGGAGTTTCAATTAACTACAGTCATTATTCTTTTTATGTTTAATTTGTTTCTGTTTTAGGTTCAATTTGTTGAAATGATAGTCCCTTGTAGTTCCGCCTATGTTCATTAAGTACAACTCTTCATTAATTTTGAGCACTTTCTTGGTTCCTTGCATAGCAAGATACGTAGGCTTATCTTGCAGCTTCCTTGTCCCAAATGTCAATCAGCCTCTTCACTAATAAGCCCTAGTTTCTTTTGGTGGAAATGGTACAGACACAAAATTTTGGAACTTAGAATGTCTATGGTGTGCTGGGGTGACAAAGTTTATGGTAGTAAACCTTTTCAGTTGTCTATTTAATTCATGAATTTTCAATATTGAAAGTTTGTATAGTGAAAATTCAGATAGTAAGGGATATTTGTATTTTGAAAAATAATGGGATGTATTACGTACTTAAAAATTGCTCTAGGAGTAGATTTAAGTGGTCTTACCACAAAAAATATAAATATGTGAGACAATGCTTATGTTAATTAGCTCAATTTAGCCATTCTACAGTGTATACATATTTCAGAGCATCGTGTTATATACACCATTTGTAAAATTTATTTACCAATTAAAAATACATTTAAAAACTAAAACAATGGGTTCATATTCTATCAGCAATTTAATTTTAACATTATGTTTTTAAGTAGCTACTGGATTTTATAATTGTATTTTTTCTTTTACATTGAAAATCTTGACCACCAATAGCAAACATTGCTTTATTTTATAATATAAAGAAAATGATTTCAAAATAATATCCTTATTGCTATTAATAAGAAAACAATGAACTTTAAAATTTCTTGTGATTATTTTTATAGTATAGGTTGATTTTAATGGAAGAATTAATTTTATGTTGATCTCATTTAATTACTTTCCTTTGAAATATGCTTTGTTTTGTTTTTATCACAGGTTGATCATTTTGGATTTAATACTGTGAAAACCTTTAATCAGCGGTATCTAGTAGCTGATAAATATTGGAAGAAAAATGGTGGATCGATACTTTTTTACACTGGTAATGAAGGGGACATTATCTGGTTTTGTAATAACACGGTATGTGCATATCTGTGAAATTCCAGTGCTCAGTTTGCCTTTTATTATGATAACCTGGAAGAAATGTTTTGCAGTATATATGACCAAGGATTACTGTGGTTAATTGTAAAGTTCTGTAAAAAATAACAAAAAAATTAACTCACTAATAATAGAAAAATAGCAAAAGTACCTAAATAGGAAGTTCATAAAAGAATTAAATACAGATATCTAATAAGTCTGTATATTCAGCCTTAAAGAATTACAAGTGAAAAGAATAATGTACTATTTTTGGATAATAGAATTATTTTATTTTATTTTTCATGGATTACCTGAACATCCCAGAGAACTGAATTTTGCAAATTTTTTGTTTTTCTTTGTTTTGTTTTTAAAATCTTAGCTTACTTCTGGAGTGAACAAGGTTATAAGGGAAACAGGCATAAAATGTTACTGTGTATAGTTTATTTTGATTATGGTCTCTAGAAGGTAAAAACAAGGACAGGAATTTCTGTATGTTTGTTTAGTATTATATTGTCAGTGTCCAGGACTGTATTAGGCATATAGAATGTGATAAACACCTGTTGAATGAGTGAATGAATAAAACCTGAACAAAGCCAATGCAAATGAGAAAAGATATATAAATAAGATTTGGAAAAGGTTAAATTGTAGCTACATTTTAGTTTAGCTTTTCTGTTCTGCCATTTTTCTTTTATTTGTGAGGGTTAGGAATAGTATATAGCCTGTTAGCTTGCTTTCCTGACTATATTTTCTATCACTTTTTATAATGCTGAAATCCATTAACAAAACTTAGTTTAGAAAGACATGTGAAAGGAAGAAATGCTCCTTTTCAATGTGTCACTGCTGAGACTAGAAAATGCCAACTTTCTACCAAAAAGCTAGTTGTGAACTACCTTAAAGTGGGGAATGAATTCTGTATTCTCTCCAATGCCAATGTCTGGCATGGTGCCTGGTAGTCAGGAGGGCTCAGTAAATGTTTGTTGAACTGGTATATGAATTGAAACTAAAGATATCAATCCAATTACATTGTTATTGCATTTCTCATTTCTGGTTAAGAATGTTAAGAATCTGAGTAAGTTAGTTGAAATAAAATACTTCCCTGAGAAATGAGATCCTAGGAGGCTTATTGCTTTTAGGTCAGTGACGAATGAAATCAGGACCTCCTTACCATCAGATTCCTGTTCTGTTATTCTGTGAAACAACAGAGTCTGCCTTGTTTATTTTCTCCTTTTTGTGTGACTTCCTTTTATGTGAAGGCCACAGGGCAACTTCTCCTGTCCAGTGATTTTTCCAGTTCCCGTTCTCTTTTATTATAGGCAGGGAGCTGTTCCTGCCTCCACTAGGCACTACTCTGACAGGCACTGTGGCAGAACTTAAGGCTTGCTGGGGAATCTCCATTCTCAAAAGTGGTGGAAAGGAAGAGATAACTCAGTGTAGGAACAGTTCCAAAGAACTGCTAGAGGCAGATCCTAGAAGGGCAGATCTTGGCCCATCCCCAGCCCCAGAGACCTTCCTTGACATACTAAAATGTTCCAATGCACATTCACTTCTGGACATTAATTTACTGAGAGGCAGCATCGTACAGTGGTCAAGGGTGAAGGCTTCAGCTAGATTGACAAGGTTTGAGTGCTGATTTTGTCACTTTGCTGTGTGACTTTGGGTAAGTTTCTTGTTCTGTGCCTCAGTCTTCTCATCTGCTAAATGGATACAGCAATAATAGCTAGTTCATAGAGTTGTGTCAAGATTTAAAGAAGATTAAGGGACTTGCAAACCCATAATGTTAAAAGATGTTAATATATTATGCAGACCTCTTTTGCAAAATAAGAATACTCCTGAAATAGGTCACTTATTACATTGTGAACTAGTTCAATGAAATTGCCTCCTCTCAAAGCCTGAAGTTGACTGCACAGAGGTCTGGACATTTTAATGGATGATCTTTACTCTTAAGATACTCAGGGTCTGGTGTGTGTGACATATATGTAAGCAAATTTTGCAGCACAGTATCCAGGATCTATACCTAGCACAGTGGTGTCAAGAAGCAGGAGTGATCAGCGCTTCCAGGGTGGGGCAGGCAGAGGTGGGCATGCTTGAACTGGATGTTTGCAGGATCTGTAGATAAATGACAGTGAATGAGTAGGTCCTTAAGAGAGAAGGTGGGGTTATTTAAACTGTCACAAATAAATGGTTAAATTTTCTATCCTTACATGTGTACAACTCTTCCAATTGTTCATTCATTGATGAAAACAAACAAAAACACTTGAGATTCTTAGTCTTTGTTAGGGAGCAGCAACACACTAAAAAGCAACAATGTGCACTGGAATGATAGTTTTCATCTGTGCTTAATCTAAATCTAATTGATTGACGTTGACTGCCTAGAATGCTTTGTTGAGAAAAGATTCTGAGGCCACAACAGAATAAGTGAAAAAAATGAAGTGATTGGCTAACGACCAGATATAGATGTTGTAGCAAGGAGACATTTAACAGCTCTTGATGTTGGTGGCCTGGAGCTAGATGCCTATGTTTGAATCTTGGCTCTGCTGCTTACTAGCTGTGTGAATGTTGAAGGTTATTTGTGCCTCATTGTTCTTGTCTATAAAATGGGGGTAATCAAAGTGCCTATTTCATAGATTGCTATGATAATTAAGTGAGTTAATACATATAAAATGCTTAGAACAGTGCCTGATACATTATAAACACTCAGTTAATATTAGCCTTTGCGAGCTATTATTTATTTTCCAATAAATAAAATAAATTGAAAGCCCCTAGGGAGTTTAGTATGCCTGTTTGTTTTCACTTTTATGTTGTCAGTGTCTATAAGTAGACAACTTCTTTAGATACCTTTAGCTCTTTCCTAGAAGATTTGGCAAACAGTGCAGTTTGAAGACCATTTTTTTTTAAAGTTAAAATTATGTTTTATTTTAAATTTGTTTTCTCTCCATTGTGTGTATTTTTTTTTCTTGATGTTTATTTTAGGTTCAGGGGGTACATGTGCAGATTTGTTAACTTGGGTAAATTGTGTGTTGCTGAGATTTGGTGTATGAACAATCCCATCACCCAGGTAATAAGCATAATACCTGATAGGCAATTGTTGAACTCATGCCCTACACTCATACTCCCTGCTCTGTTAGTCCTCAGCACCTCTAGTAGTCACTCAGTGTCCGTTGTTCCCATCTTTGTGTCTAGGTGTATTCAGTGTTTAGCTCCTGCTTATAAGTGAGAACATGCAGTGTTTGGTTTTCTGTTGCTCTACTGTGTCACTTAGGATAATGGCCTCCAGCAACATCCATGTTACTGCAAAGGATATGATTTTGTTCTTTTTAATGGCTATTTAGTATTCTGTGGTATGTATAGACCGCATTTTCTTTAACCAGTCTACTGTTGAATGGTATCTAGGTTGATTCTGTGTCTTTGGTATTGCAAACAGTGCTAAGATGAACATACAAGTGCATGTCTTTTTGGTAGAATGGTTTATTTTTATTTTAAATTTTAATTTACTTTTTAATTTTATTTTTTGTAGAGATGGGGTTTCACTACGTTGCCAAGGCTGGTCTTGAACTCCTCGACTATAGTGATCCACCTGTCTTGACCTCCCAAAGTGCTGGGATTATTTTTCTTTAGGCATATACCCAGTAGTGAGGATTGGTGGGTTGAGTGATAGTTCTATTTTAAGTTCTTTGGGAAATCTCCAAACTTCTTTCCATAGTAGCTGAACTAAGTTAGTATCCCACTAACAATTTATAAGCATTCCTTTTTCTCCACAACCTCACCAACATCTGTTATTTTTTAACTTTTTAGTAATAGCCATTCTGACTGGTATGAGATGATATCTCATTGTGGTTTTGATGTGCATTTCTCTGGTTATTAATGATGTTGAGCATTTTTTCGTGTTTGTTGGGCTTGTGCCTGCCTTCTTTTGAAAAGTATCTGTTCATGTCTTTTGCCCACTCTTTAATGGGGTTGTTTTTTCTTGTAAATTTGTTTAAGTTCCTTACAGATTCTGGATATTAGACTTTTGTCAGATGCATAGTTTGCAAATATTTTCTCTCATTCTGTAGGTTTTCTGTTTACCCTGTTGATAGTTTCTTTTGCTATACGGAAGTTCTTTAATTTAGGTCCCACTTGTCAGTTTTTGTTTTTCTTGCAATTGCTTTTTAGAACTTAGTCATAAATTCTTTGCCAAAGCTGATTTCCAGAATGGTATTTCATAGTTTTCTTTCTAGGGCTTTTTTTAGTTTTCAGTTTTACATTTAAGTCTTTGTCCATCTTGAGTTGATTTTTGTATATGATGAAAGGAAAGGGTCCAGTTTTAGTCTTCTGCATATGGCTAGCCAGTTATCCCAGCACCATTTATTGAATAGGGAGTCCTTTTCTCATTGTTTGTTATTGTTGACTTTATTTAAGATCAGGTTGTTGTAGGTGTGTGGCTTTATTTCTGGATTCTCTATCCTGTCACATTGGTCTGCATGCCTAGTTTTTAATCTGATGTTTTGGTTATTGTAGCCTTGCAGTATAGTTTGAAATCGGGTAGTGTGATGCCACTGGCTTTGTTTTTTTTGCTTGGGATTGCTTTGGAAATTCAGGTTTTATTTTTGCTGTTGTTGTTCTATATGAATTACAAAAGTATTTTTTCCTAACCCTGTGAAAAATGATGTCGGTAGTTTGATAGGAATAGTATTGAATCTGCAAATTGCTTTGGGTACTATGGCCATTTTAACAATATTGATTCTTCATATGTATGAACATGGAATGTCTTTTCATTTGTTTGAGTTGTCTCTGATGCTTTTCAGTAGTGGTTTGTAATTCTCATTGTAGAGATGTTTCACTTCCTTGGTTAGCTGTATTCCTGGGTATTTCATCCTTTTTGTGGCTATTGTAAATGGGATTGTTTCTGATTTGGCTGTTAGCTTGATTATTAATGGTGTATAGACATGCTACTGATTTTTGTATGTTGAATTTGATCCTGAAACTGTACTGAAGTTGTTTTGTCAGTGCTGGAGGCCTTTTGGTGGAGTCTGTCGGGTTTTCTAGGTATAGTATCATATATATCATCTGCAAAAAGAGATAGTTTGACATCCTCTCTTCCTATTTGGATGCCTTTTATTTTTTTCTCTTGCCTGATTGCACTGGCTCCAACTTCCAGTGCTATGTTGAATGGCAGTGCTGAGACAGAGAATCCTTGCCTTGTCTTAGTTCTCAAGAGAAATGCTTTCAGCTTTCACACATTCAATGTGATGTTGGCTATGGGTTTGTCATAGATGTTTCTTATTGTGTTGTGGTATGTTCTGTCAATACCTGGTTTATTGAGAATTTTTACCATGAAGGGATTTTGAATTTTATTGAAGGCCCTTTCTGCATCTGTTGAGATGATCATGTGGTTTTTATTTTTTAATTCTGTTTATGTGGTGAATTCCATTTATTGATTTGTGTATGTTGAGCCAACCTTGCATCCAGGAACAAAGCCTGTATGATTCTGGTCAATTAACTTCTTGATGCTGCTGGATTGGTTTGCTAGTTTTTTGTTGAGGGTTTTTGCATCTATTTTCATCAGAGATATTGGCCTGAAGTTTTCATTTTTTATTGTGTCCCTGCCAGGTTTTGTATCATAATGATGCTAGCTTTATAGAATGAGTTAGGGAAAAGTCCCTCCTCCTTGATTATTTATTTATTTATTTTTGAGACGAAGTCTTGCTTTGTTGCCCAGGCTGGAGTGCAGTGGTACTATCTGAGTTCACTGTGACCTCTGCCTCTTGGGTTCAAGTGATTCTCCTGCCTCAGCCTCCCGAGTAGCTGGGATGACAGGCACATGCCACCATACCTGGCTGATTTTTGTATTTTTAGTGGAGATGGGATTTCACCATGCTGGCCATGAACTCCTGACTTCGTGATCTGCCTGCTGGTCTTGAACTCCTGACCTCGTGATCTTCCTGCCTCGGCCTCCCAAAGTGCTAGGATTATGGGCATGAGCCACTGCACCCACCCTCCTCCTTGATTTTTAAAAGTAATTTCAGTAGCATTTGTATTGGCTCTTTGTAGGTAAAGACCATTTTAGATGTAATGTTGATTCTAGGGCTAGTGTCAGGATAAAAATATGTGGATGACTAGTAAATGAGCAGCCTGGGATTATTTTTAATTGTTTCACTCATAAAGTGTGAGATTGCTATGTAACAATAAGACAGCAATTATATCATTTATTGGTAGAACAAACATAAATTGTGCAACTTTTCAGAGTGCTCTTTTTTGGTCTGGCTTAACATCTATTTCAAATGGTTTGCCAAAAGGTTCAGTGACTTTTTTTCACCTACTGATTTTATCCTGTGAATTTGTAAACTCTTCTTAGGGTTTCATGTGGGATGTGGCTGAGGAACTGAAAGCTATGTTGGTGTTTGCTGAACATCGATACTATGGAGAGTCTCTCCCATTTGGTGACAGCTCATTCAAGGTAAATATACTTTTTACTTTTAAGTTACAAGTTTTTTCTTTTCAGTTTAGAATAGTTTCTAAATTACATGCCCCACTGTGAGATAACTTTAATTTGAAATGCCTAAAAGCTCAATAGTTTATATTTAATCATTGCCTTTTAGATATAATTTGAACAGATTGAGGGTTTCTTTTTTAGCCATTTTATTATAATTCTTAATGTTAATCAGTTTTTAACTCAGTATGCCTCAGGCAGTTAAATCTTACTCTGTGGCTACAGAGGCAGTACAGGGAACTTTTTATTATTTCAAAACTATCAGTAAACAATTTCGCTTTATAAAGTGTACACTTAAATTATTGAGCCTTCCACTGGAAAATATCTAATGAGCATAACAAATTTGTGTGGTGTTTTAAATAAAATCAATAAAATAAGAACAAATAAGCTGTGTGATGCATTAAGGCCCACTGACGCCTTGGATTCCCTTTCAGCCATTCCTGTTCTCACAGGAGCTTTGGCCTTTGTCACAGACTCTGCACCTAATAAATCAGGAAACTTTTCCTTCAACTGAGTCATTCATATACTACTGCCCTTGTGACTCTGGCTATAGTAATTTGCCATGTGTACTATTATTTACTTAATATTTTTCTTTTTTTTTGAGACGGAGTTTCGCTGTTGTTACCCAGACTGGAGTGCAATGGCATGATCTCAGCTCACCGCAACCTCCGCCTTCTGGGTTCAAGCAATTCTCCTGCCTCAGCCTCCCAAGTAGTTGGGACTACAGGCGCACACCACCATGCCCAGCTAATTTTTGTATTTTTAGTGGAGACGGGGTTTCACCTTGTTGACCAGGATGGTCTCGATCTCTTGACCTCATGATCCACCCGCCTTGGCCTCCCAAAGTAATATTTTTCTTTAATCAACTCACTTTTAAACTTAGCATTATCTTAACCAAGGACTCTATGTACTGGTAATTCTTTCCAAATTACACTAAAATAAAACAATAAATGTTCCATTAAAAATGTGTGCTTCCTAAGACCACCAGTATATACATATGCTTTGGGGAACTCTCAGCTGGAAGGACTTGGGGCCAGTCATTTACTAGGCTGCCTGTTTAGAAAGGAGTTTTTATTTTTAAAAAGGAGGTTTTACTATCACAAATTCCAAATAAATACATGAGTAAAAATAAGTAAAAAATGTTGTGTTATAAATAGAAAGTGGGACAGTTTGCTGATATTTTTTGGGCTGTATGGGAAATTCTATTCTTTAGCTTGGTATTTTGCATAAATACCTGATTAAGGGACTTGACAGATCCTGAAGCTATTAGGAAGCAGTCAGCTTGTTGCAGATAGAAATATAACTTCCTCTCCTAGGTTCCTGTGATTGATACTGTGTTAGCAAAATGAAGCTAGGGGTTCTTTTTGATATACTTCTTTCCCTTTGTGTGCTCACAGACTCTGTCAGTAGCATGAGGGATGTTACAGATATTATGCAAGGATTAGGAAAAAAATTACGCTCGACTGTACAGAGTGCCATAAAAACTGAAGTAAAGGATAGCAACAGACAGGGAGAGAGGAGGTAAGAAGTTAGAAAGCATACATCTTGGAAGCGTGGGAAAGCTAAAGGAGTAGGTGGCATATATAGGAGAGAGGAAAGATGAGATCTATGTGATTCAGTAATATGCAAGATGATGGAAGGAATCAGAATGGTGAGACCAAAGCATGAATGTCAAACAGGGTAGCCTAATAGAGGTATGTAGCATTAGTTATCTATTGCTATGTAAAGATGTGCCTCAGACCTTATGGCTTAAAACAGTAATAAACACATCTATTACCTTATAGCTTACATGGGTGAAAAATTAGGAGTGGTTTAGCTAGGTGGTTCTGTTTCAAGGAGTCTCATGAGGTTAGGATGTCAGCTGGACTTGCAGTCATCTGAAGGCTTAACTGGGGCTGGAGAGCCTTTCTACTCATATGGAGGATCACTCACATGAGAGATAAACATGCTGGATGTTGACAAGAGGCTACAGTTAAGGACCTACTTGAATTCATTACAAGGCAGCTAATTTCCCTCAAAGTTGACAGTGCAAGAGAGCAAGGTGGAAGCTGCAGTGTTTTTTAATGACCTAACCTTGATAGTCATATATCATTATTTCTGCCCCATTCTGTTCATTAGAACCAAGTCACTAAGTTCCATCCAAGTTCAAAGGGAGTGGAATTAGACTTCACCTTTTAAAGGAAGGAATGTCAAGAATTTGCAGACATATTTTAAAAGACCTTAGCCTCCTCAGCTCGGCTGGACACTGAGCTTCACCTTCTTATACTATAGTAGGTAAATTGTCCTCATGTAGAGAGCAGGATGATTATGAGACTTAACATTATGAGTTTTCCTTTTCTCAAAGATCAGTGTCTCTTGTTGCCTGTTTTCCAATACCTGAAAATAGATTTTTTTTTCTTTCCAATTTTATGGTTGTTTACAATAGGCAGGCTACTTCGTTTCAGTTGTTGATAAGGCCGAGGTCACATACAATCTTTCTGATGAGGAAGGGTGAGTTTTATTTTTACTGGCAATTCTTACCTCAATTGTCCACAAGATTGAGTTTATGTTTGCCTATGTGGTCGACAGTTTAAATGTGCCAAGATTGGAAACAAAAGTTATAACAGTTATCTATTAAGCTTAGTTTATATTTTATCACATTTGCTATTAAATTATACTTATAGTTTGTTTCTATTGTTTCTACAACCTTAATAAAGTCTTTGGTAAATAGCATTTAGTAGAAATTACACTTGCATGCAAAATACATTATGTTTTTCCACAAACTTAAAATCATTTTCATGAGTTGTTTAAATCCGCAAAGCTATTGCTTTGACTAGGCGTTTTAGCTCAATTGCCTAGAAATTCTATTTGGAGAAAAGCTTATCTGACACTGGTTCTTTTCTGGATCCATGCTATTCCTAAGCTGCTATTATGTGCACATTTATACCCATGTTCTTTGTTATTTTTCTTTAGGATTCCAGACACTTGAATTTTCTGACATCAGAACAAGCTTTGGCTGATTTTGCAGAGTTAATCAAACACTTGAAAAGAACAATCCCAGGAGCTGAAAATCAACCTGTCATTGCCATAGGAGGCTCCTATGGTGGCATGCTTGCAGCCTGGTTTAGGATGAAATATCCTCATATGGTAGTTGGGTAAGTGCATTTATGTTGTACATGAGAGCTTCTTAATGATTAATCTCAAGGTAAACTTAGAGATTCATTTTGGGTAAAACATGTTCTATTCTATTACACTGAGTTTTCTAGCTTCTGTCTCATTAACAGCTATGTTATTTTTCTCACCATTTTTGTTTATTATAAGTTTCAACTTTAAAACTTGATTTAGATGACATATATACATGTGTATATATATATATATATGTGTGTGTTTTTCTTTTTTCCTTCTTTGATTTTCTTGCCGTTTAGAGCTCTTGCAGCATCTGCCCCTATCTGGCAGTTTGAGGATTTAGTACCTTGTGGTGTATTTATGAAGATTGTAACTACAGATTTTAGGAAAAGTGGTCCACATTGTTCAGAGAGCATCCACAGGTCCTGGGATGCCATTAATCGATTATCAAGTACTGGTAAGGTCTAATTAAGAGAATGGAATTGTGTACTTTTTTAGCCTTTTATTTGTTAAATTCAGTAGTTGTCATTTTTTAAGTAAACAGTTTATTAAAGTATAAGGTACATACAGAAAAGTATACAAATTGAAATGCATAGCTTGATGAATTTTCACAAAGCAAGGACATAATGTAATTAGAATTTAAATCAATAAAGGACATTGTCAGCATCGCAGAAATCTCCTTGTGCATTTTCAGTCACTACCTCCATACCTACCCAGCAAAACCAAGTCCTCAATTCTAGAACCATAGATTGATTTTTACTTGTTCTTAAATGTTTTAGTAATTGGAATTACATAGTATGTCTTTTTTTGTGTCTACTGTCATTTGCTTGGCACTGTTAGATACATCCATTTGTTTTATTTAGTTTTAGTTTATGTATTCTTGTTGTTTGATGGTGTTCCTATTTGTTCATTTTAATGGTATCTTAAAAAGTAGGAATAATTCTGAATACTCACTCTGGTAAACTCTGTGAGGATAGGCAACTTGTCTATCATGGGATTCTCCAGTTTCTCTAAAAATATTCTGGGAAAGGGGGTGTAAAAGATTGAGTTTTCTAAAATACTATGTGAAGAATAAATGATCTGTAAAGCCATCTGTTGACCAGTACCTTTTAGATTCCAACAATGCGATTCTATTCCTAGGCAGTGGTTTGCAGTGGCTTTCTGAAGCCCTTCACTTATGCAGCCCATTAACTTCTGAGGACATCCAACATTTGAAAGACTGGATCTCTGAAACCTGGGTGAATCTGGCAATGGTGGACTATCCTTATGCATCTAACTTTTTACAGCCTTTGCCTGCTTGGCCCATCAAGGTAAGAGGAAAATGTCTTCTTATCATTTTTAATAACCCACTTCTCATTTTTTTTAACATGAATTCTCTGGCTTTCTGCATCAGAGAAAGTCCCAGTGACAAAAGGGCTCTGGAGTTAGTCCAACCTGATCCAGAATCCTGTGTTCTGCTACTTTCTGGTTATGTGGGCTTGAACATGTTACCTAGCTTTTTTGAGCCTCAGTTTCCTTATTTGAAAATTGGAGGTAAAATTTATTGATTATAGAGTTGTATGAATTAGAAGTAATACCAGAAGTTGCTGTTAATGGAATAATTACCATTTGTCAAATCCTGGGCTGTACACTTTGTGTGTATAATTTATTTAATCTTTGTGATATATGTGTAACCTGGGTCTGTGTAGTACATGATTGGTGCTTAAAAATGGCAGTCATGATCATAGTTCTGTGATCTAGTCAGCTGTGAAAGCATTCTAAGTGCTATACTCAGTGTGAAGAGTGACCCCATGCAGCACAGTAGAGTTGAAACAACATCAAATTCAGTTCTGAAAGTGAGAGTTTGGTCCAGAACTGCTGCTTCACTTACCAACTATGTGATCTTGGGCCAGGTGCTTTTCTTTCCCCATCCTCTGTCTTCCTCTGTTTGTGCTGAGAATAAAATAAAATGTTGGATATGAATCACTTTGGAAGTATAAAAACATATTACAATATAACTTTTAAGGTTCTTTTTATGTCAAAATTCTTTCTTATTATGTTCATTTTAAGCATTTCTTTGTAAAGAACTATCCTTTTAGTTTTAAGAACAAAGGCTGGCCAACTTGATGGTTAAATTTAGAGAATATAACCAACTCTTCAGCTAGAATGAGTGTTGGAAGTGAAAATAATATTGGTGATATGAGAGCCGGGTTTCAAACGGGCTTTAACCACCCCTTTGAATTATTGCATGTATACCTTGCTTAAAAATTTATAACTAAAAAAGTTCATTTGCTATTATTTTTCTTCATTTAAAAAGTAAAATGACTAATAAGTGTCTTGCATATATCAGGTTGGAGGTCAATAGGTATTGAATTCGATTGAATTTTGATAATACAAAGTTGTTAAAAAGAGCAGATCACTTTTATGTTAGAAAACCTAAATCAATAGGCCTGATGTGGTGGCTCATGCCTGTAATCCCAGCACTTTGGGAGTCTGAGGTGGGACGATTGCTTGAGATTAGGAGTTTGAGACCCACCTGAGCAACATAGTCAGAACTCATCTCTACTAAAAATAAAAAAAATTAGCAGAGCATAGTGAAGCGTGCCTGTAGTTCCAGCTGCTTGGGAGGCTTACGCGGGATGGTTGCTTGGGGCTGCAGTGAGCCTTGATTATGCCACTGTATGCCAGCCTGGGCGACAGAGCTACACCCTGCCTCAAAAAAAGAAAAGAAAGGAAAAGAGAAGAAAACCTGGATCAAAATAATAAGGAAAAAATAAATCTAAACCAGTTCATTTCATAAACGTCTATGTGCTAATAATGCCTTATCTGTCTATATTATTTTACTATTTACAAAGTACTTTCATGTGTGCTGTCCCACTTAATGTTTATAAAAGTACTGTGTAGAAAAAGAGGTTTAAATCAAGATTTATGGAGAAGAAATTAAAGCTCAACTAAGAGTTGGTAAAAGTGGGATTTGAACTTGGGTCTTCATTGTTCAGAGCCTATATCTACTGCATTGCACTGGATTAGGAGGAAACTTGACTGAAGTTGAGTGACCATAGCTTGCAGTGTGACATCTATCAGATTTAACTCTGTATCTGTCTATGCACAAGGTGAGAATTATATTTGCATCTTTATTCTCACTTGAAGAATGAATGCGTTGTCAGATGATAAAAACATATGGGGAATTCTCTTGTTATTTAGAACAGAGACTGACAAACTTTCTCCATTTAAAGGGCTATGTTTTAGGCTTTGCAAGCCATATGGTTTCTGTCACAGTGACTCAACTCTGCAGCTGTAGCATGAAAGTAGCCGTAGATAATATGTAAACAAATGAGGATGGATGTCTTCAATAATACCTTATTTGTGAAAATAGGCAGTGGGCTGGATTTGGCTTGGGGAATTGTACTTTGCCGACAACTGATCTAGAAAAAGGCTGGAGAAATATAGCTGTTTAATGTTAGTTGGTGTACCACAATTTGGAATAGTGAGAAGTCTAACTGGTTTTCTTCCTAACTCTTTAATGTACATTTTGGGATATTTTGCTGTTCAGTCTTACATGTAAATTGATATTTTATCCTTTGCCCTTCTAAATAATTACTCAAAACCAGCAGAGTATACCTCAAATATCTTGTCATCTATTTTTGATTTAATGTAATCCTTTTATCCTTTATATATATGCATTATAAACGTTTATTTTTAAGGTAAGATATCTTTATGTCTTTCCCTCACAATCACCTTTTACTTCTTTTATCCAGGATTAATTCTTGTAATTCTCTTCAGTTATTTCTTACTGACATTATCCTTTCTCTTGACAAACCAAGGAATTCTTGACTGCTTGCATTTATGATTCTGTTTCCAGCCTGCACCCCACCAGAAGTAATCTTACCTCTTGCCTCTTGCTTTGAGAAATTCCATTTGCTCTGTTTTCCATTTTCATCCTATAGTTACCCATTTGATTTTCAGAATTTTTCCACTATGTCTTCCTTCGAAACTTGTAGCTTCAGATCACTTTCTTTCACTGTTCATTCTGTTTCTCCTTTTTTGACCCCCTCTCTGTTCTCCCGACCCACTAATCCCTGGAACACTACCCAGTTGGGGACCGCTCTTTCACTTGGATAGTTCCATTTAACCAGAACTCCTCCTCCCTCTGATACACTTCCTTCTTTTTAAAGGGCTGACTAACAGTGGTCCTTTTCTGAGTCTGTAACTCAGGCTTAGGATGGTGAGATAATATGTAACAGTTGGGTTATGAAAAAAAGCAGGTGATTTCCAATTCTGTCTGGGACCTTGTACAGTTCTGAAGGATCCATGGGCAGCGACTAAATGCCATTTTCCGTGTCAATTCAAGTATCGTTCTTTTTAATTTGTCTTTGGGCTTTGCATGCTCAGACTCCATTTGCTTTTGTTTACTGTTAACAGAAGCTGCAACATTCATGCAGAAATAATTATGGACTTGGCTGGTAGAACACAAGGAAGAAGAGAAAAGGGAAACAGAAAACCCCTCTGTCATTTGACTGTTCTGTCAGCATGAAAACTATTAGGTCTCTTCTCAGCTTAAAGACAGTTTTAAAGGATGAAGTAACTTGTTAATTTTGGAATCATATTTCAGCTGATAACTTCTCAAATATTTTAGCATAGGCTTCTGTGCATATAGATAGATACAGTGAAATAATGACATAAGATGGAAAAATCTCTTCCGTTTGTCTTGCTGTTTGGTAATGTATGCGACCTCTCTGGGTGGTTTAAGCGGTTTAGGTGCATTCTATGAAAAGGGAGCTTTTAATGACAAAACTAATGTGATTATCTGAGTGAGTGTGAGAGGGGTATTGAAGCCTTGGAGAAAGAAAATCTGTTAGAAAAGCTGAATGTATCTGCTTAATCCTTTCTCTAATGTGGATGGACTATGCTCTGAGAGGAGATTGGTCTTTTTTTTTTCCCCAACCTATCTTCTTTCCTTCCTCTGTTAAAAAATTCTCTTTGACCCCTTTTTCTTTCTCTTATTTAAATGTGTACTATCATAGGTAGGAACACTTAAAGCTTTTAAACAAATCATCTTCTTTACTTTGTCTGGTGTATGTGGGATCAAAGGGCAGAACCGAAATATTTGGTTGCAGATCTGATTAGTTTGGTACTAAGGTTGCGTGAATGTTCTACTTTCTCAACTATTTCTATACTCTTTAAAACTGGAATGAGTAAAATGGACTTTCCAGTACTCTTTCTGTTTCCTGAATGTTCATCTTTATTCTAGGAAATGCCTCATATTACTTTACTATTTTGCAGGGTTTTTTTTTTTACTATTATATGCTTTTAAGGTTTTATGATTTCATATTGCCACAAAATTCCTTCTAAGTTTTTGCCAAAACAAATAAACATAGAAAAATATAAAGATAATCTAAGAATTAGAAAAATTGTTTTAAAAAGGTAAGCATGAGACAGCACATATATTTAAGCATTGTTTTTGTTAGGATAATTTTTCTTTTAGCTTTTAGTTGAATACGTGTTATATAGTTACAGTGATTGTAAGCTCCAGAGAGTCTACATTTGTGTTCTTTTCTTTTCTTTTCTTTATTTCTTTATAAGATAGAAGGTCTCGTTCTGTCACCCAGGCCTGGAGTGCAGTAGCATGATCATAGCTCTCTGCAGCCTCGAGCTCCTGGGCTCAAGAGATCCTCCTGCTTAAGCCTTCTGAGTAGCTAGGATTACTGGAGTCTCTATTGGAATCCCAGTTCTGCCATTTCTTTGCTGTGTGGTTTTGGGCAAGTTTCTTAACCTCTCTGTGTTTTAGTTTTCTCATTTGCAAAATGTGTATAATAACAATTGTAATGCTTACTAGGGTTTTTATGAGTATTTCATAGGATCTAGTATAAAGTAAAAGGACTAAATTGATGCTAGTTATAAATAATAACAATAGTTATTATTATTATGTAATACTGGGAAACCAGATGATTATATCAGGACTTTGTGGTCAACGTCTGCATTGAGACCTATATTCATAGTGCTTTTTCTTTTCCACATCAGATAGGTAATGCGCTGATAGCATAACTGGGTTTGAGGGAAGTACATTTCACATGTGAGCATGAAAACCCAGTCGTACACTTCCTACATTAATAGTTTTTAAATTGTGTATCTGGAGCCAGACCTCTGAGCCTGTTTCTCTTCTGTGAAATGGGAATGATCGTCATATGGTACTCTCTGGGTTATTGTAAGGAAAGTACCTGCCCTCAAAGAATATTCAGTACTTGTACTAACAACCTCAGTCCCAGCTGTTCACATTTTAGCGCATTTACGGCATGTGTAGGAATGACGTGCCTTATGTAGAAATTGTTTAGAAGAAGCCATTTGCTGGAACTCACAAAATAAATAGAAAGTATACTCCAGGGCTGCCTGGATGTTGAGTATTTTGGATAGAGATGGTGGGCTAAGACTCTTGTTGTCTGACTATATCACATCCTGTATGTAAAAAATCAACAGGCCAAGTGCTTGCTTTCATCATGTGGGTAATATCTGCAAATTATCAGGGGTAAGCTAAAGTACTGTATGAGGTTGAGCCAAAATTGCTGATATTTGACTGTTTTTGACTTACAAATATGAGAGTTTCATATGGTTCAGTTTAATATTGATGTATTTTATGTAATCCTACAGTTCTTTGATAAAAGTATGTGAGTATCTCCTTTTAAACTACTCTAGCCTTTTTTTTTTTTTTTTAAAGAGATGGACTCTCACTCTGTCACCCAGGCTAGAGTGCATTGGTGTGATCATAGCACTGGAGCCTAGAACTCCTGACTGAAACAGTCATCCTACGTCGGCTTCCTAAGTAGCTGGGATACAGATGCGTGCCATCACACCTGGCTAATTTTTTTAACGTTTTGTAAAGATGAGGTCGTGGTATATTCCTAGGCTGGTCTTGAACTCCTGGCCTCAAGCGATCCTACTGCCTGGGGCTCCCAAAGTGCTGAGATTACAGACTGAACCACTGTGCCTGGCCTTGAGTTACTATAGTCTTTGAATAAGCATGAGAATAGCACCAAGGTCTTGCTAATATTTTTTTTGAAACTTCATTCACTATGCTACCAAATTGTTAAGAAAGTGCAAAGAGATATTAGGGATTCTATTTTTTAATGCTAGAGGATGATACTTGGACTCACAGAATCTTTCAGTTAGAAAGGAACTTTAGAATTACCTAAAATAAAATATACCTAGTAAATTTGCAAATATTTTGCAAAAAAAATTTTAAGTGACATTTTTCAGGCCTTTTATTTAGCATACTGGTAGAATTATAAATCAGTACTTCCTTTATATAAGGCAGTTTGACAGGATGTACCAAGGGCCTTAAAAATGTTCATTTCCTTTGAGCCAGTAATTTGTTTAAGAATTTATCTCAAGAAAACAGTTAAGGAGATGTGGAAAAATTTAGCCCCAAGGATATTTATTGTAGCCCTATTTGTAATGATGAAAGGTTGGGAATGACCCAATTTTAGGGTTGCTTCAGCGGTTTTTCAGCTCCCCACCCTGATTCCTGCCTTCTAGATTTTCTAATATTGGTCGGTGCCCTTCATAAGTTGTCATATTCCACTACTCCAAGGGTGATCTGACCTCACAGAGCACAGTGGCTGGGGATTGCCCTTATTCTGGACTTGGAATCCCATCCATACAGAGGCCAAGTCTCTGACCATGATGTTCTTTCTGTGTAACTGGGGCTGCTGAAACCCAAGTATTGTCAGCCAGTGCCGGTCTCCAGCTATGCTTGTCTTTTAAGAAGTGACGGTAACTGCTATTTGTGGAGATGGCTATTCATAGGGACTCCTTTTCTTTGCCTGACAGAGGCCCAGTGTTCTAAGTTCTAAGAGGGGCTCTGATGCCAGCATGTGAGTCACACTCACTTGCTACTGTTCTTTTCCAGAGTTTTGGGCCACTTGTTGTTTCACATCAGTACCTTCTCTCCCTGTGCCTAGCTTGCATTGTCGCCCTGCCCCCTACCATGCTGTGCTTGAACACAAGGCTCTTCTCTGCATTCCATGTGTCTACTGTGTAGTTTTGTGCTGCATTTTGAAAGAGCTGAATCAGCTGTTGGTATCCAGATTCAGGAAAGAATGCTGATCAACTCTTGGCAATTGATGGTTTAATATATCTTATGATTGTTTCTTGATTTCCATATTGTCTTGAGTTATTTCTTATTGGCATATTTCCTAGGAACATTTTCAGAGAAAAGCACCATGCAATGTTAGGTATTTTTTGACTACCATGAAAAATCGAGAGTTGTTAAAATGATAAAACACTGTTTTGACTTTTAATTTTTCTTCAATTGGCATTTCCTTATTGCTTTAGGCTTGATAGGTTTGCGAAGCTCTTAGTTTAGCTCAATTCTGTCTCTTCATGTACATCCTAAAGCCTGATATTCCTTATTCTTATGACCTCATAGTTACATTTAAAGGTATATACCATTATTTGGACATCTTAATTTCTGACTTTTCTCACACTCAGCAGTTCTAAAAACCTTTTGGGAATGATGGACACTCCAGCTTCCTTTGGAAAGTCATATTACTTTTGAGCATGTTAAAGGTTCTGAGAAATCCTCTGAAATTATATAATAATAACAACAGTCAGGAAAACTGTTCACCTTTGCTAGTATATAATTTCTCAAAACTATTGGCAAGGAAACGTTTATTTTCCACAAAGTACCAATTAACGTTCCATGGAAATATTGTTGTGCAGAATATATTTGGGAAAAGGCATTGAATTTTTCTGAAAATTCATTTTCTGTTTTACAGTTTTCTTTTCTTTTTTTTTTCCAGGAAGGTATTGCTGGCAGCTGGTGCCAGGCAGAACTGTGATGAAGGGCTGGGTTTGGTTGGATCCTTTCTCAATACCTTCTTTTCTAGGTCGGGAGCATACGCCTAGCCCAGGCCTTCTTATTCCTGCTGCCCAAAATCTCTCCCTGAGGTGGGGTAACTGGGCTCCTTTCCCAGCTCCTTCTCTGGACTGGTGTCTTTTTGTCAGAACTAGTCTATTTCATATATATATATATATATATATATATATATATATATATATATATATACACATACATATATATAGTTTTTTCCACATGAAATGGGAAAGGACCAGATTACTGAATTCACGTCAGAGTCAACAGAGAATTCAAGCTTACCGGGTTTTCCTTGCTACTTGGGCTATTTGTAGTTTTACACGTGGACACTTCCCAAGCTGAGTGTCATAATGGATAAGATGTATATTTCATAACTGGAGACAACTGGGGATGAATCTAGGCCCTATTATTTGCTAACTGAGTGACCTTGAAGATGACTTAACCTAAGAATCTGGGTTTTTTTTTTTCATGTAAAATAATAGACAATCATCTATCTGACGAATCTAGGCCCTATTATTTGCTAACTGAGTGACCTTTAAGATGACTTAACCTAAGAATCAGGTTTCTTTTTTCATGTAAAATAATGGACAATCATCTGTCAACAGTGTAATTGTTGGAAACCCAGAGCTTAATAATCACTAGATGTTGTTGTCGTTAGTATTATTCAGCTATGATTCAATTGCCTGTGATTTTTCTAACATTTTATTATGGAAAATTTTAAACATATGGAAAAGGTAAAATAATTGGGCAGTGAACACTCATAAAACTAACATCTAAATTCTATAAATAGTATTTTGTTGTATTTATTTATCGCATATATATTCACCTATCCATCACTTCATCTATCCTTTAATTTATCTTATTTTAAAATGCATTTAAAAGTAAATTGCAGACATTTTCCCCCTAAATACTTCAGCTTTATTATTAACTAGAGTTCAATATTTGTGTATGGTTCTTCTTGTGGTGGTGGAGGGATGAAATCTAGGTACCATGGAATGTACGAATTATAAAATTTTTCATGTGACACAACCCCTATGAAGATATAGAACATTTTTGTACCCCAGAAGGTTTGCAATGGCTCTGTCTAGTCAGTTCCGCCTTTACTCCTAACCCCGAATATTGTCTGATTTTTATAGCTAGAATTTCAGGCATTTATTATAGTTTAGTCAAAGGAATATTTTAGAGCTGGGAGTTATAGCATATGCTTTTCATCACACCACAGATGGCTAGAACTTGGTGTAGTTTTTCCATATAAAATTGTATAAATTTTGCATTTTTATAAAAATATAGTAATTCATTCAGCAAACATTTAGTTACCAGATATCTTGCTAAGTACTGAGGGAGACATTCTGAAATCAAGTCAGTGAAGTAGAGCATTACAGAGGCTCTGATAAAAATAAGTACAGGGTATAGTGGAGGCACCAACACGGGAGAGGGTTAGTTCTTCCCGACTTGGAAACATAGGCAAGGATGCCCTTGAAGAGGAGGTGATATGAGCTGAGTGTTGTAAAAGATGAATTGGTGTTTGAAGGCATTAGTGGAGTGGGAGAGGAGATAGAAAACAGTGTTTCAGGGTGAGCAAGGGGAAAGAAGAAGAAGGAGCCTGGTGTGGTGGGGAATGGTTTTCCTAGGCTGGAACAAAGGCAGCAAAGAGGAAGCTAGAATGGTAGTTGGAAAGGATTTTGCATACCATGCAAATGACTTTGGTTTGTTTCTATAGTCTAGGGAGTAATTGAAGAGGTTTATTTATTTGTGAAGGGGATTAAACCCAAGAAAGAAATTGTTAAACAATGCAGTTGGATGCTTAAGAATATTTTATGATCAGATTAAAATAATATTTCTTCTTTGTGTTATTAAACTCATTTTATATTCATATTCTGACTCTTTCCCCATTTATCTTTCTAAAATGACAGGTAGTGTGCCAATATTTGAAAAATCCCAATGTATCTGATTTACTGCTGCTGCAGAATATTTTCCAAGCTCTTAATGTGTATTACAATTATTCAGGCCAGGCGAAATGCCTGAATATTTCAGAGACAGCAACTGGCAGTCTGGGAACCCTGGGTTGGAGCTATCAGGTAAATGTGTATAATTTTCCAAGAGGAATTTACTTTTCACTGATACAGTTGTGCTATAAGAAAATCAGAGTACACAAGATTTTGTCAACTAACCAGGATCCAGTTTTGGGCCCTGTTACCTTACGCTGTAATACTATGGACAAGTTTCTTTGTTTATTCATTTGTTCATTTACTAATCACCAAATAGATATTGAGTTCTTATCACGTGTCAGGCACTCCTCTAGGTTTCAAAGATACAAAGATAAATAGTACATGATCAAATGTAGTTTAGTGAAAAAGTAAGTAATTAGTATTTCAATAGATCTTGATAACTCCTACAAAGGAAGCATTTTATGGACATAGAAAAGAAGGGGAGTCCAATTTGTCCTTCATCTGCACAATGAGACTAACAACAACAATAAGAAGAAGAATAAGACTTTCCTTCCAGAGTTGTTTTGAGGGTTAAATATGATAATAAATGTGAAATCAATCAGTTTGTATTGAAGGGATATAATGCCAACTTTCATAACTTCTGGGCCAAGACTTTTTTAGAATAATGAGAGATTATGTGTCATAGAAATAAAGCACAGGGGCTTCAAAGCTGCCTTGCCTGAGTTAAAACCCTGCCTTCGCTACTTACCAGCATTATGACTTTGTATAATTTATGTAACCTCTTTTGCCTTATTTTTCTAATGGGATTCTCTCTTGGTTTGCTGTTTAGGCCTGCACAGAAGTGGTCATGCCCTTTTGTACTAATGGTGTTGATGACATGTTTGAACCTCACTCATGGAATTTAAAGGAACTTTCTGATTACTGTTTTCAACAGTGGGGTGTGAGACCAAGACCCTCCTGGATCACTACTATGTATGGAGGCAAAAACATTAGTTCACACACGAACATTGTTTTCAGGTGAGTTTTTGCTGGTCCAAAGAGAAACTTCAGCTGATGGAGATATTTGTAGAATATTTGAAAAAATAGAACCAGGAAAATGCTGGACAATAGAACAATGTAGAATACAACAGTGGTACTCATCATTGTTTTCCTCTGCCTTGAAAGATAGGATGCTGAGAAGAGACAGGATTTTTTGCTCTATTACAATGTGCTTTATTAAAGGCTTAAAAATCAACAGCAACAAAATTAAAAAAAAAAAAAAAACTCTCCAGTACAAAATAAAGCATCATCTGTCATTCTCAATTTCTCATTATTGTTACTGTTGCTGCTGATGAAATAAATTTTCAGCATTCAACATTTTTGGAGTGCCTGCTTCATTCTGGTCCAAGTACTAAATGAGGCACTTTAAATAAATTACCTGGTTAAATCCTCACAACAACCCGGTGGAGTAGTTCTTATAGCCCCTTTTTTACTTTGAAGGAAACTGAAGGTCACTGTGTTCAATCCTTGTCAAAGCTCATCCACCTTTGTTTTAGTTACTAAGTGATAAAGCCAGCTCTCTACCATGGCCTATCTGACTACAAATCCTGTGTTTGCTTTTCTATGTTACGCTGCTCCTTAAGAAGTCACATCGTTGCTACTGGTTCACACTAGAGTTAATTGAGTAAACTCTATGTGTATCTGTCTGTGACTTCAAAATTTTAATGTTTTGACTGGAACATTAGGTTGTCAGCTATTAAAATAGCAACAAATTAATCAAGAATTTCCCCAACTCTATGTAGAAATAGGAGATACCACTACTTACCTCTTAACCGGAGCTACTGTTTAAATTGTAAATGCCATTCTTTTACAAGCTCTTTTATTTGTCTTAATTTTTATTTTTTGAAAAGAAATCTTAAACTTTATTTTGCATTTTACAAAAGTCTATGAATAGTTTTTAAAAGGTGCCTCCTTACTTCATATCACATTTCTCTGACAGTTGTTAAAGTAGGCAGTGAGTATATCACCAGCTTGAGCATTGGCATCTTGCAAGGATTTCAGACCAACCAACCACTAGCCAAATAATTTGGCAGCTTTTTAATCTTGTTTTTAAATACAATGGTAGATCCACTCTGATGGCAAACTTATCCAGCCAAATCTCCACAACATGCTTTGCAAAATCAGTGATTAGCAAATTGGTTAGCTTTGGCATAGAACTGTGCTTATTTGTGCATTACAGCCTGGTGTTGATACGGCAACCAAACATTGAGAGGGACAACTTTTGCACTGTAAGAAATAGAGTTGGGTACCCTTCTGCAGGATTGTGTCTGGAGATCGGCATATGTGACATCACCTTGACAATTCCTTGATATATCAAGGGCTAGTGTTTTCCAGACCTTTTATGAGGCACTACTCTGTTCATAAGGGTGGAGACCCATAACTTAAGTGACATATTCCTGGATACATCTCCTCAAGACATTTTCTGTTTCTGTTGGAATCTTCCTTTGATTACAAGTTGGTTATTACCATCTATAGAACCACTTGTACCCAGTTCAGCCAACAAAAATGCAAGGAGGCTGGTTGCAGTAGCTCACTCCCGTAATCCCAGCACTTTGGGAGGCCAAGGCAGATGACTCGTGGAGCCCAGGAGTTTGAGACCAGTCTGGGTAACATGGTGAAACATATCTTTACAAAAAATACAAAAATTAGTCAGCATGGTGGCATGTGCCTGAATTCTCAGCTACTCGGGAGGCTGAGGTGGGAGGATAGCTTGAGCTCAGGATGTGGAGGTTACAATGAACTGAGATTGTACCACTACACTCTGGCCTGGGTAACAGAGCCAGATCTTGTCTCAAAAAAAAAAAAGAATCTCTCTCTCTCTCACACACACACACACACACACACACACACACCCCAACCCACAAAACAACAAAGCCCAAAAACGCAAGGAGACATTTGGGCTGATGATGTAATAGTTTATAGATATCCTTAAAGTTGATGAAAGGAGTTTTCTTGGTTCCTACTTGTACAACCTGCAGAGGTTTCACTGTGAATTTCCTTTTTTCTCAAGCAACCGTATCTGGATTCTTTTCCCTTATGATGTTGAACACATGATCCAGTAGCTCCTCATCTGTGCAGTCTCTTTCTAAGCCTACCTCACAGGGCCTATCTGATTATTGAATGAGATAGCATCGTCTTTTTTGCTGTCTTCATCTTCTAGAGCTGTGTCTTTTTTTAGTATTTCATTCTTATCTGGGAACTTGACATTCTTCTTTTTCTTGCCAAGTACAATGTTAAGGTCCTCCTCTGGTTCATCTTGTTCTTGAACATCACTTTCAATCTTAAGATCCTTTATACCTTCTTCAGCTTTATCAATATCAAATATCTTTTCCTCTTCTGATTAAAGAAGTTCATGCCATCTAGAACATCGGAAACATGTTTTTGCCTAGTGCCCTGTTCATGGGCTTCTACATCTTTGTCTTCAGCTGGCTCTAGCTTCACTTTTTGGGCTGGTTTTTCTCTGTTTTTGTATCCCCTTCTTCATCTAACATAAAGGGATTCCTCTTTTTCTTCTTGCCCATAGTAGGATCAAAAACTGTCTCATCCCTGGACATGGCTGTGGCTCAAGTGGGCTCAGACAGATGGGAACTCAGACAGGTCAGCTCCAGGTTCCTGGCAGCATCGCTGATCCCGCTACTATGTCTCCCACCACTGCACTCTACAAGTTATTTTAAATAAGAGTCAGATTTGGCCTTTGGTACGTAGCCAAAAGCTTTTAGGGGTGAGGAGTGCTGTTTTTCTGGAAGCTGATTCTGAGTTTAGGCTGGTGGCACTGCCCACTTTGTAAAAAAGCCCTCTGACTTAATTAGACTCATCCTATTTTCTTTTTTAATTTTTAATTTTAATTTTTACTTTAAGTTCCAGGGTACATGTGCAGGATGTGCAGGTTTGTTACATAGGTAAATGTGTGGCATGGTGGTTTGCTGCACCTATCAACCCATCACTTAGGTATTAGGTCCAGCACGCATTAGCTATTTTTCTTTTTCTTTTGAAGCAGAGTTTTGCTCTTGTCACTCAGGCTGGAGTGCAATGGCACGATCTTTGCTCACCGCAACCTCCACCTCCCAGATTCAAGTCATTCTCCTGCCTCAGCCTCCCAAGTAGCTGGGACTACAGGTGCCCGCCACCACACCCGGCTAATTTTTGTATTCTTAGTAGAGATGGGGTTTGACCATGTTGGCCAGGCTGGTCCTGAACTCCTGACTTCAGGTGATCTGCCCACCTCGCCTCCCAAAGTGTTGGAATTACAGGCATGAGCCACTGTGTTTGGCCTTAGCTATTTGTCTTAATGCTCTTTTCCCCCCCACTCCACCCCGTGACAGGCCCCAGTGTGTGTTGTTCCCCTCCCTGTATCCATGTGTTCCTATTGTTCAGCTCCCACTTATAAACAAGAACATGCAGTCTTTGGTTTTCTGATCCTGCATTAGTTTGCTGAGTATAATGGCTTCCAGCTCCATCCATGTCCCTGCAAAGGATGTGATCTCATTCCTTTTTATGGCTGCATAGTATTCCATCCAGCAGGATACCTGTTCCCAAATAAAAGGCAAGACACTTTAACAGAAAACTTAAAACTGTTTTTAAAAAATTTCCTTAAGTTGTGTTCCTTGTTCTCAACTGGATTCTTCAAAACTGTACTCTTCAGCTCAGTCTTTAAAAGTTAAGCAAATAAGTCTCTGCTTAGGATGTTTAAGGAAACTGTGCCAGATTTAGAGTATTTGAAATCAGGAAAACTTGAAAGAACTGAGAGCTTTGAAAAAGACCTAAGTATAAGCCTTTGGGTCTGTCTTAGTCCACTAGTGCTGCTATAGCAAATCACCTGAGACTGGGTAATATATAAATAGCACAAATGCATTGCTTACAGTTGTGGAGGCTGGGAAGCCCAAGATGAGGATGCTGGCAGGTTTGGTGTCTGGTGAGGGCCCAGTATGTGCTTTCAAGATGGCATCTTAAGGCAGTATCCTCACATGGCAGGAAGTGGAAGGGCAAAAGGGGCCTAAGCTAGTTTTCTCCAGTCCTTTTATAAGGCACTTCTCTGTTCATAAGGGTGGAGCCGTACAACTTAATCACTTTCTTAAAGGCCCCACCTCTTAATACCACCACAGTGGGGATTAGGTTTTAAAACATGAATTTTGGGGGACAGTTGGACTATAGCAGTCTCCAAGCTCATCTTTGTTCCATCAGAGGAAGAAGTACTCAATCAGTTTCTTAGTTTTCTTTAGGAGCTTGTCTCTGTAGAGTGTTTATATACATTGCTCCGGCTTTTGAACTTTAAGCTCATCCATCCTTGCTTTGACCCTACAAAGCTGAAGATCAAGTTGAATTTTTTTTTTTTTTGAGACAAGGTCTTGCTCTGTTGCTCAGGCTAGAATGCAGTGGTATGATCTCGGCTCACTGTAGCCTCAACATCCCAAGGTTCAGGTGATTATCCCACCTCAGCCCCCCAAGTAGCTGGGACTAAAGGTGTGTAATTTTTGTATTTTTAATAGAGATGGGATTCTAGCACGTTACCTAAGCTGCTCTGGAACTCCTAGGCTCAAGTGATCTACCTGCTGGTCACCTAAAGTGCTGAGCAAAGCACCCAGCAAGTTGAAAATGCATTGCCCTTCTTAAATCATATTGAACCATTATATACAAGTATTTTAGTTATCTATTTGCTTTTTTATGTTATCTTTCTCAGACTGTCAAAGTGATTATAATAATTATCACCATCATCATCATCATCACTGGAGGAGGGAGGATATATTGTGAGAAAAGTCAGTAGGTAGGAATTAGAGCTCTATGTAAGAAAGGACTTTCAAGAAGAGCTGTACAAATGTAGAATGAGCTGTTAAGTAAAACTACTTAGGCTTTTTTGTTAATCAGTTTTATCCTCTGTAAAATGAGAATAATAATACCACTTACCCCATAAAGTTGTTGTGATGCATTAAAAGAGCCCTTCAAAGTACTTGGTCCAGACCTGGCAAATATCTGTGCTCAAAAAATATTTGTTAAATGAATAAATGAAGGTACACTTTCACCTTGCCCTTTATGTTCTAGCCACAGGGAACTGTATACTTGTCCCTGAATGTCCTTTCCCTTTCTCCTTTTCCTTAAGACTCATACCTTCTGCAAGAAATATTCCCTAAGGGAGGATAGGTTTCTACGTCCCCCTTACTTCTAGTAGCACCTATAAATACCACTTTTCACTCTGTGTGGTAGTTATCTGTTTGTGCTTCTATCTGCGCCATGAGATTATGAATTTATCCCCAGCAGGGACTTCATCTTAACCATCTCTGTATCTTTAGCACCTGCTACAGTGACTGGCACATAATGAATGCCCAGTAATGTGCCTATTGTTGATAAGGACAATGAATGAAATACACAGCTCAGGAAGGCTTTAGAAGCATGTGACAGTTTAAAGGCAAGACTGTTCGAAGATGCTGGTTTATCTTTTTGCAGTGGCAGGTCTACTTTTACAAAGAAATCTTTTTCTACAGTTTGCTAGGTATGAGAAATCCAATGTAAAAAGTTTTAAGTTATTAAAAAATTCAAAATTCTCTTACTTTTCTGAAGAAAGAGCACTCCCAAAGTAAAGGAACATCCACAGGTGTGTCTATTCTATGTACTTTATGGCCATTAGCTATAAAGCGTTTCTGGTTGCTGAGTAAGAATGTGTCCAAGTATAGGCATGGGGAAAGACTTCATGACTAGAACACCAAGAGCAATGGCAACAAAAGCCAAAATAGACAAATGGGATCTAAGTAAACTAAAGAGCTTCTACACAGCAAAAGAAACTATCGTCAGAGTGAACTAGCAACCTACAGAATGGGAGAAAATTTTTGCAATCTATCCTTCTGACAAAGGGCTAATATCCAGAATCTACAAGAAGCTTAAACAAATTTATAAGAAAAAGACGAACAACCCCATCAAAAAGTGGGCAAAGGATATGAACAGACACTTCTCAAAAGAAGACATTTATGTGGTCAACAAACATATGAAAAAAAGCTCATTATCACTGGTCACTAGAGAAAGGCAAATCAAAGCCACAATTAGATACCATCTCATGTCAGTTAGAATGGCAGTCATTAAAAAGTCTGGAAACAACAGATGCTGGAGAGAATGTGGAGAAATAGGAACACTTTTACACTGCTGGTGGAGTGTGAATTAGGTCAACCATTATGGAAGACAGTGTGGCAATTCCTCAAGGATCTAGAACCAGAAATACCATTTGACCCAGCAATCCTATTACTGGATATATACCCAAAGGATTATAAATCATTCTATTATAAAGACCCTTGCACATGTATGTTTATTGCAGCAATATTCACAATATCAAAGACTTGGAACCAACCCAAATGCCCATCAATGATAGACTGGATAAAGAAAATGTGGCACGTATATACCATGGAATACTGTGCAGCCATGATAAGGATGAGTTCATGTCCTTTTCAGGGACATGGATGAAGCTGGAAATCATCATCCTCAGCAAACTAACACAGGAACAGAAAATCAAACACCACACGTTCTCACTTGTAAGTGGGAGTTGAACAATGAGAACACATGGACACAGGGAGGGGAACATCATACACCGGGGCCTGTCAAGGGATGGGGTCCCGGGGGAGGGTTAGGTTTAAAAGAAATACCTAATGTAGATGATGGGTTGATGGATGCATTAAACCACCATGGCGTGTGTATACCTATGTAACAAACCTGCATGTTCTGACCATGCATCCCAGAATTCAAAGTATAGTAATAATAATAATAATAAAGAAGGTGTCCAAGGAGGCCTGCGGAACGCATCTTAATCTTTATGTCCAGGTTTCTCTCCCTAGGCTGCCTCACATGAATCCAAGTTTGACTGCTTTTCTGGTTGGGAAGTTTAATCTTTTAAGTGTTGGATTGGAGATTTTTCAGTTAAAGCTTTGAAGTCAGGTAGACCTTGATGCCATTCTTCTTCTTCCCTGAATTAGCTGCATGGCCTTGGGCAAATTGCCAATTCATATTAGTTAGGAATAATAATGAGTACCTAATAGGGTTATTTCAAGGAATAAATGATTGTGGAAGTAAGCAACAGATTTTGTCTGTTTTGTTCACTGTGGAGTCCCATGCCCAATCAATGCCTGATATATAGTAGGTACTCAGTAAACATTTGTTTACCTGTTAATAGTCTCATTACAGCAATTCTTTTTTTATTCCACTATTTTTTTGGGGGGAAGATTTATTTTCTTTCCCAACTCGTAGACATTATTTTGCCAACAGTCATTCTCAGTTATTTTAGTATAGATCCAAAAGGGAGTCCCTGAGGAGCTGGTTAGTTTAACACCATTTCTCAGGCAAATTAATTGTTGCCAGTGACTAAGTGAAGCTCCCTGTTGGGGGAATTTTACCCAGGCATCTAGATCCTCTCATGAAAGCCAGCATTTCTTTTTCCTTCTTGTTGTAGATTTCCCAATGATTGGTTTAGCTTTCACAGGTCTAGGACCAAGAAATTCAAGTTCATGTGCAATCTTAGGTCTCTCAGCAACTCCAAACACTGTTGCTAAGCCACTAGGCTATTTCAGATGACCTTTTAAATCAAATGCAGTTTGCTTATTATGTGGCTGTTGGGATAGCTTTTTTGTTTTGCAAATAATGGAGAGTTTCCTATCTGGGTTGGGCTTGTCAAATTGGAATAAGGATAAAGGCGATTTGTTCATTTAAGACATTCCAACTCCTTGTGTAGTTTACTTTAAAAGTTTATCTGGTAGTTGAAAACTAAGGCTTCTATTTTATATGAGATTTTCTTTTTGTTTTTAATAAAACCAAAAATGTTCACTTCTGGAGTATAGTTTTTTGTTGTTGTTATTTTTAAAGCATTATGTTAAGTTGCAATTGAACAGAGGATAGGCAATTTTTTTTTTTTTTTTGAGACGGATTCTTGCTCTGTCATCCAGGCTAGAGTGCGGTGGCATGATCTTGGCTCACTGCAACTTCTACCTCCTGGGTCCCAGCCATTCTCCTGCCTAACCTCCCAAGTAGCTGGAACTATAGGCATGTGCCACCATGCCTAGCTAATTTTTGTATTTTTAGTAGAGGTGGGGTTTCAACATGTTGGGCAGGCTGGTCTCGAACTCCTGATCTCAAGTGATCTGGGCCCCCACAAAGTGCTGGGATTATAGGCATGAGCCACCGTGCCTGGCCAGGACAGGCAATTTTAAATTGTATTTCAAACACACATAAACTTATTGTGCCTAAATTTTTTTCTCATATAATTTGTACATTTATATTTTCATGATTCATTTACCTCTTGCTGGTGTTAATACTTATGCTTACAGAATATGGTAATAACTATAATGACATCATACATTTGTGTAGTATTTATAGTTTACTTATTTCCACATATATTATTTGACTTGGGCCTCACAGTAGTTCTCTGAGAGAAGGATATTATCTTTCTTAAAAAACATTTTTTTCTATAATCCACATGAGAACTGAGGTTCACAAGGGTCAGTAACTTACCCAGCATCATGCAGCTAGTAAGGATGTACAGCTTAGATCTGCTGAATTCATTGTTCTTTCCACTATTAACACACAGTTGAAGGCCAGTCTCTTTATATTTATATTAATCATTTATAAAAACTTTTCTTACCCCTGTAAAAAGTATTGAAGTGATTTACAACATGTTTATGAACTTGCATATGTATATTTATAGATGTCTAGGATGGGCATCCAATATAAGGCCACAGACAACTAGATACTTTTTAAGTTCATTCAGTAATTTTTTTGGGGGGCTCTTACTGTGAGCCAGGTCTGCTTCTAGGAACTGGGAGATATAGAAATAAACAAAATGGACAAAAATCTCTGCCCTCATGGAGTTCTAGTTTGAGAGATAAGCAATGAAACAAGATAGAACTTATAAATATGTTAAAAGGATATAAGTGGCAAAAAGAAAAAAATGAACCGGGGAAAGAGGATATAAAATGTCATAGGGAGGGAAAACAATTGAAATTTTTTATTAGCATGACCGGGAAGATGTCATCAAGGGGTAACTTGTAAAAAATGATATAGAGGAATTAAAGGAGCTAATCACGAAGTTGGTGGGGTAAGAGGATTAACCAACGGCAAAGGTCTTGAAAGAGAAGTGTCCCCAGCATGTTCTTCTTCAGGTGAAGTAAGGTCAGTGTGGCTGGAGTGGAGTTAGTGAGAGAGTAATAGTAGATGCAATCAGGGAGGGAGCAGAGGCCCCACATCATGTAGAAACTTTGTTCTAGTAAGGGCTTAGGTTTTTGATGAAAGAGATAGGAAAACTTGGAACATTTTGAGAAAAGGAATGACATAATCTGGTTCAGGTTTTAGTAGGATCAAGTTGGCTGCTCTATGGATATTAAATTGTAGGGAGACAAGAGTAGAAGCAGGAAGATCAGTTAAAAGGCTATTGTAAGTAACTCAGGTGATAACGACTTGGATCAGGGTGGTGCAGTGGAGGTTTATGGATATATTTGAAGATATAGATGACAGGATTGTTGACAGATTGTGTGTTAAACAATGAGAAGATTAAAGAGTAAAATCAAAAAGATTAAAGAGTGACACGAAACTTTTTGGCCTGGGCAACTAAAAGGATAGACTTTCTACTAACTGAGATTGGTAAGATGGCGGAAGGGACTGGTTGGCATTTGGGGAGTATCTGGAACTGCTAAGTGTCTAATTTGACTTCCTTGTAAAAATGTAAAATAGACAGTTGAACTTTGGTTCCGAAGTTTAGGGGAATAATCCTGGCTAGATATATTATTTGGTAGTCATATGTGTATAGGTTGTACTTTTAGCTGAGAAGTTTTTTGATGGTTATGCAAATTATGGGAATAATTTCATGTATTTGATAATGTGAGCTTAAATATTTTTGTTTCAGGCTTTGAAAACAGTATTAGCAAAATGGAGTTTGCATTAAACAAATATCAGGACACATATAAAAATGTTCTATAAGTGATTCCAAGTGGTAGGTAGGTAAAGATAGGCCAAGAGGTACCATAGAAGGGGAAAGTAATCTAATACTCGCCCTGGGCAGAACACTCAGATCCAGGTATTTCAGTGACAGTTTTTTCCCTAAGGAATGTGTTAGATGAGAGGCAGACCTGAGACTGGAACCAAAGTGTGTCTGATCCCAAAACTCATGTTCTTTTTACTCTACAGCACACAAGTTAAGAGAATGTGAACTATCGACTTCCAACAGCAGTCATGTTTCTGCGAAATGCAATGCCGTATAAAATTAAGCATTGGACTAGGGTTTTTAGAGCTGTGTTTGAATCTCAGATTTGCCAAGTCAAATGATTTTGGCAAGCCTTTTAACCTTTTGGGTATTAGTTTTCTCATCCATAAAAGAGTTGTAATTAAACCTACTTCATAGGGTTGTTACAATGAACAAATGTGAAAGGCTTTGTAAACACTAATGCAATCTATGCATAATATGTTATATTAGGGAAAATTTGATTTAAATAGCATCAAGAATAAAATACTTTGGCAAAAGTATTAATTTAGCAAAAGAAATGCTAGATGTATACATTGGAGACAAAGAAGTTAAAAATTGCTGCCTTTAAATGGAAAGACAGCTCATGTTAAGTGTTAATACTACTAAGTGTTAATGCTATTAGTATTAATACTATTATTATTAACAATATTAAGATTAATAGTAGTGTTAATACTATTAAGTATTAATATTAATATATTATCAATAGTATTAATATGGTTGTTATTAACACTATTAATATCAATTTAATATTAATTAATATTAATTTAATTTAATATTAATTTTAAATTGATGCACATTTGTGCATCATCAATATCAATATTAATTTAATGTTAATGTTAATAGTATTGATACCATTAAGATGACTTAATAGTATTAAGTGTTAATACTTAAGTGTTCATACTATCAAGATGTATTAATGCTATTAAGTGTTAATACTATTAAGATGACTGTGCTCTTTAAGTTGATCCACAGATTCAATGTGATCACTATCAAATTTCCAGCTCACCTTTTTTTTAAAAAACAGAAATTAACAAACTGCTCCTGAAATTTATGTGGGAATATAAAGAACCCAGAATAGCCAAAACAATCTTGAAAAGGCAGAACAAACTTGAAGAACTCACACTTCCTGATTGCAAACTTATTACAAAGCTACAGTCAATACAGTGTGATATTGACATAAGGATATATATAGATATATAGATAAGTGGAAGAGAATTGAGTGTCCAGAAATCAAACCTTATATGTATGGCCTATTGATTTTTGACAAAAGTAGCAAGACTATTCATTGAGAAAAGAATAGTTTTTTCAACAAATGATGCTGGGAAAACTGGAGATCTGCATGCAGAAGAATGAGGGTCGCTCCCTATTTCATACCATAACAAAACAATCAACTCAGAATAGATCAAAGGCTTAAATGTAAGAGCTAAAGTGATAAATCTCATAGAGGAAAACTTAGAAATAAATCTTCATCACCATGGGTTAGACAGCAGTTTGTTGGATACAATACCAAAAATACAAAGAGAAAAAAATAGATAAATTTGACTTCATGAAAATGAAAAACATGTGCTGCAAATGATACTATCAAGAAAGTTAGAAGACAGTCTACAGAATGGGAGAAAATATTTGCAATTCATGTATTTGATAAGGAACTTGTATCCAGAATAGATAATGCTTTGTAAACAATACCAGCAAAATGGAGTTTGTGTTAAACAAGTATCAGGACACACAAAAAATTGTTCTATAAGTGATTTCAAGTGGTATGTAAGTAAAGATATGGCAAGAGGTACCATACAAGGGCTTGCCATGGGCTGAGTACTTAGATCCAGGTATTTCAGTGACAGTTTTTTCCCTAAGTAATCTGCTTCCGTGAGATTAGGTAGATGAGAGGCAGGACTGAGACTGGAACCAAAGTGTGTTTGATCCCAAAACTCATGCTTTTCTTACTCTGCAGTACACAACAGAGTATGAGCTCTCACTCAAGAATAAAAAGACATATAATCCTTGTTAAAAAATGAGAAAACATAAATATATGACTAGGCATTTTTCCAGAGAAGATATACAAATGACCAATTAGCACATAAGATCTTTAAATCCCATCAGTCTCTTGGGAAATGCAAATTAAAACCACAGTGAAATACCATTTAATACTTACTAACCTAGGATGTCTAAAATAGATAATAATAAGTGTTGAAGAAAGTGGAACCCTCAACTGTTGCTACTGGGAGTATAAAACCGTGCAGCCCCTTTGGAAAGTAGTCTGGCAGTTAATAGATTGTTACCATATGTCCTAGAAATTCCTAAGTATATGCCTGAGAGAAGTGAAATCATGCATCCACACAAAAACTTGTATGTGAATGTTCAAAGGAGCAATACTCATTAGCTAAAAAGTGAAAACAACACAAATGTGCATCAAATGATGAAGAGAGAAATATGATGTATCCATACAATGAAATATCATTTGGCAATAAAAAGGAACATGTACTGATTCATGCCACAACATGGATAAAACTTGAAAACATTAAGCAAAGTGAAAGAGGCCAGTTCCAAAAGACCCCCTATTATTTAATTCCATTTGTATGAAATGTCCAGAATAGGCAAATCTATAGATTCAGAAAATAGATTCATGGTTTCCTGGGGCTGAGAGCAAGCTAGGAAGATGGGGAGTGACTGCTAATGAGTATGGGTTTCTATTTGGGGTGATGAAAATGTTCTAAAGTGGTGTGTGGTGCTGGCTGCATAATTCTAAGTATACTAAAAACCATTGAATTGTGTATTTTAAATGGATGAATTCTGTGGTAGATGAATTATGTCTCAAAACTGTTCAGAAATATTATTAGGGATGCTGTCTGTCTGTGGTTATATTGGATTTTTTACTCAGTTAAACTAAATAGTTTCAGTGACTGATCCTGTTTACATTATTCTGAATTGTGTTGTGTGAACCAGCTGAGACTAACAACCTGGTAGAATTTCCTTAACTTTAAAGCCAATGTAAAATGAGGATTTTTGAGTAATATCCAAATTTTCTGATTCTAGTTCCTGGTGTCATTTTTCAGCTCTACCATCCTGTTTTCCAAAGTACTGTATTGGACAAAAAATGCAGCTTCCTCCTTTCCTCCCTTCCTCCCTCCCTTTCTTCCTTCTTCCCTCCGTTGAGAAGACGGGGTTTCACCATGTTGCCCAGGCTAGTCTTGAACTCCTGGGCTTAAGTGATTCACCATCTTGGCCTTCTAAAAAGCTGAGATGATAAGCATTAGCCATTGGGCCTGGCCTGTTATCTCTGTTTTACAGATTAGGAAACTGAGTCAGGCAACTTGCATTATATAACTTTTGAATGATGAAATGAGGATTGAAATTCAGGTTTCTAAATTTCATATCCCAGTACAGTCTAGGATGATTTATGGGAACACTCCCTTCAATAATCTCTGGTTCTGTTTTTTCTTTTTTGCACTTGGTTGCAGGAATATTGCAAATCTCCAGTTTGAAACATCTTTCTATACGATAAATTAGATCCTCAGATCAAATCCACCATGCTATAAGTTTATAATTTTAGGTGTTAAGCATATAATAGGTTTCTCCTAGCTTTATCTGAGTAGCGATACAAAAACGTAACAACTTTATTTTTTCTTCTTTTTTTCACTTGCAGCAATGGTGAACTAGACCCCTGGTCAGGAGGTGGAGTAACTAAGGATATCACAGATACTCTGGTTGCAGTCACCATCTCAGAGGGGGCCCACCACTTAGATCTCCGTGCCAAAAATGCCTTAGATCCCACGTCTGTGCTATTAGCCCGCGTCTTGGAAGTTAGACATATGAAGAATTGGATCAGAGATTTCTATGACAGTGCCGGAAAACAGCGCTGAGAAACTTGATTTTTTTCAGTTTCTTCTTTTATGTTCACACCACTACATTCCCATTTACTTTGATTTTCTACATGCAATTACTTTATCTTGTTTATCATTAGATTTGATGGTGCCAAGGTTGAGATAGAATAGAGGGTGATGATGGTAAGAGCAGCTGTCCCATGAGTGTGATTTCCTGGGTTCTCACTGTCTTTGCACCACATCTAGGAAGAATCTTCTTGATAGCTCTCCCATACCATCAGTGGCCCTCACAACTGGAGCAGAGTTCCTGACTGCCTTTCATAAGCGGGAGAGTTAATTCCTTTGTATCTGCATGCAGAGATTTCTCCTTGGTTTTGTGGTTGAAGTCTCTTTGGCTCATTTGTAAGTCCCCATCCCTACCCTACAAAAAGTAAAAGCAGAAGATAGATAAAAAATGATGTAATTGCAGCTGGTAGGATGTCTGGTGCCAATCCAGGAAATGAGAGCCATTTCTTTTATACTGGATTTAATGACTTTGAACTGTGCTGTAAGTAAAAAATACAGCTGGACCTTATACCTGTGTGTTGCTTCTGAAACTCACTCTGACTCCGGCTGTTGGGAATGCTGTGTGCACTGGGCTTAGCTGTTTTTGGAAAGTCCTTTAATTTTTTTCTCTTTCACTTGGCAACTTTTCTTAGTTCTGGGATATTGGCCACTGTGATACTGCCAGTAAGAAATCTGGCCTTTTTCTGCTCCATTTCTCTTTGTTTCTAAGGTCAGTTTTGTGGTAATTTGGTTAAATTCTGCCAGTTTAGGAAAATGACTCTCTCTTGTCTTTTTAAATATAAGCAAGCTTTATGTCATAGTCCCTAATTATATTTCAGTAAGAATCCTTTAAAATGGATGAATCAGCTATTCCAAAAGTAGAATATAACATTTCAGCTTTAAAATTTTTTAAATTTTATTTTCTGATAGTTCTGCTATCATTAAAACCAGAAGTATCAGACAAACAGGCAGGTGCACAAGAACTTTTCTGTATGACTTCCAAAAGACAAGCTGACTAATTCATGCAGGCAATATATTTGACATTAATAAATGGCCAAGCCATTCCTATTTCCAAGGGGTTGGCTTCTTTCAAGCACTTCTTACACTGAGACCTTTCTTCAGAAGAGCTTTTCTAGGATAACAAATAGGGTTGGATCAAAACCTTTCAGGGACACAGAGAGAGAAAGAGAGAGAGAGAGAAAGAGAGAGACTAACAGTTTCTACTCTGTTGAAAGATTTCTTCCTCCTTGTTTCTTTTCATTTTCTTTCAATAATTTTTTTTTCTTCAACCTGCCTTGGGAACATTTTCTGCTTTTTAAAAAGCTGTACCTTGAGCTTGGTCATTTCTAAGGCACTTATTATTTTTTTTTAAAGTGCAGATACAGAGTTCATTCTTGGGGTGGAAGGCTGAAATTTTTTTTTACTTTCCCTGGCATCTGGGAGATATAGGAAAATCTTTGTCTTGTTTTAGAAGCCTTCAGTTCTCATTGTAATGAGTTGTCTATCAAAGCATTTGGTCGCTATTTTTGTTTCAGCACCAGAGAACAATCTATTGGGGTGGGAATTTAAGGGTCAAAACAATACTAGTTTTTATGCTTTGTCAACTAAGAAATTATATAATGCAGGCTTTATGGGGTTAATAGAGGATATCCTTACAATTTATTTTATGGGTTTAGGGATTTTTCCTTGTTTAGAATCTTTAAAATACTTTACCATTTTATTTAATATTGGTTGTTTGGATGAATTGCATCATTCTAAAGAAACAAACTGCAAAAATATAGATTTTTTGGCAAGCATAATTTTATCCTATTACTGTATGCATTTTATGAATATAGATAGCAGCCTTAATTGAAGTGAGTGTAATTATAATATGCTAAAGTTTAATTTTAAAATGAAAAAGAATTGGAGTGTCAGATAAGCCTTATTATTTAAAGCATCCCCCTAATAAAACTGCACTTTTTACTGACACGGAAAGAGAGACATGGAGACTTGAGTGCTTTTTATTTTTATTTTTTTCAACTCCCAAGAGCTTAGAAAGAATTGGGTGCTTTTTATTTTCTGTTTTTGTTACTTTAACTGCCTGGATGCAATGGGTAAAACTAAAGAAATGTAGGGGGACTTTCTTAGGGAATCTGTAGCACCAAGAGGTTATCCGGAAGAGCTGGTGTCTAAGCCAGCATATTAGAGGGCGAAGGCCCCCGAGATATCCAGTTCAACTCTTATCATTTTGTAATAGAGAGAATTGTGGCCTAGAGAGAAGGAACTTGTCTAAGGCCTCACAGCTCCTCTGTGGCAAAACTGGGGCTCCTTTTTGGCAGATTTTGTTTGCTTCATTTTACTGGTACAGTTTAATTTTTGTTTGGATTCAAAAAACAAAAGCCCATAAAACCAGCTTAAGGAAAAGAAACGTTTTGAAACAGCAAGATCAGTGCCAGGACTTGGGTTACTAGGAATCATGGGGAACTAGAACTAGGGTCTGGAAAGTTATTGAAAATCAGTACTACTTTTGTGTACTATTTCACTTTCAACAGCGGTGACCTGTTGTCAGACTGTGGTTTGGATTTGGTTGTCAGAGGTCTACAATTCTGTAGGCAGTCTAGAGAATGCATCAGAATTACCCAAAAGGGCTTGTAAAAATGCTGATTGCTGAGCCCCATCCCAGAGTTTCTAACATGTGTTGGGGTGGATCTTGGGAAGTTCCATTTCTAACAAGTTCGCAGGTGATGCTGGAGCATCACACTTTGAGAGTCACTAGTTGAAAGAATCTGAAATTTGAATTTGAATTTAGTTCACCTTACTTCTGTCATCCTGCCTGACTCAACTGAGTGTGGGAGCCCTGCCTAATTCATCTCTCCCCATGACTGCTTTATTCTCCCTCTACAGACCGGCTTACTTTTCTCTATTTACACAAGGCCCATGGTGACTTCTTAGAATGGTATCCTCAGCCCTCTGAGGGAGCAATGCCTCACAAATTCTCAACTCTCAGGTAGTTAGGGAAGGACAGGTCCATGAAAACATGGTTACAGAGGTGTACTTCTTAGGATGGGGGAAGCAGTGCAGGCAACTCAATCACACGGCATCTATCACACAGTTTCTTGGAGCACTGGTATCCAACAATATGCCAGTAACTTGGGTAGTAGAAAGACCTATACTATTGTGGAGCAAGTGTGGAAAATAAGGGGACAAATGAAGTTAAATAGTTGTTTTGTATATCTGTAGATAGTATGTGACTCTCTTAAATGGTAATTGAGAATACAACTTTTTATGTTCTTGACAGAGACGTAAGGAATTGGTCTAGAACCTGAAAAATACAATGGTGAAAAAGCAAACACAGCACTTAATTTAATAAAGTTTATGTTCTGCTACGAGAAAGACATGACATGTCAAGTTATACATTACAATGATAAGTGTTATGAAGAGTTGAGGCAATTAGGACATTAATTGCAATCTAATAGGAAAATAGAGATTAATTGCTAAATGTCCTACTCTAATGGTCCCAACTCTTGATAACACTAAATGTTAAATGTTTAGCATTTAGACAATGTGAGGTAGTCTGGGGGAATAGGAGTGCCTTTTTGAGATGCCACATTTTTGGTGTGATCTAAATGATGAATGGGAGCTATACTAGGAAGAGGAGTGGAGAAAATGACATGAGCAAAAGCCCTGAGTGTAGCATATTCAAGGAACTGAAAGAAAGCCACTGCAATGGGAAACAACCACAGAGAATGTGACATAAGATGAATATGAAGACATGGGCAGTGGGAATGCTCATTCAAGTAGAATTATACGGATGAAAAACCTTTGATGGGCTTTAATTAGGGGTGTGACATGAACAGATTTTCATCGAAAAGGACTACTCTGGCTATAGAGTAGAGTATGCATTGTAGGGACAAGCGAATAATGTAGGAGACCCCAGTTGCAGTTGTCAGGTTAAGAGAAGAAGGTAGTTTTGACTAGAGTGGTAGAGATGGAGATAAGAAGAAGTGGAAAAATTGGATAAAGATTTAGTAAAGAAAGTCAGCGGGATTTGGTAATAGTTCTATATGAGATATGAGTTGGGCAGGTGTCAAAGATTATGATGTCTGGTTTGTGCACTTGGATAGATGATGGTGCCATATATAGGAGAAGGTGCCCTGGAGGGTGTCCAGGTTTGACAGGAAGACTTGAGTTCAGTTTTGTCATGCTGAGTTGTATGAACTTTTGAAATAACCAAGTAGAGTTGTTGGACATAGGGATGTGCAACTCAATGTGTGCTGGAGAGTCATGGTGAGTAGATGGCAATCAAAGCATGGGCTCAAGGCGCTAGTGTTTGAGAAACATATTTCAGGAGCTCATACTGTACTTTCGTTACCCTGATACTTTTTAAAGAAATATCAAAACATCCTAATTCCCCTACATATTACGCCACTGATCCAAGACACCACTGAGCCCCGGTACAGCCTTTCCTTAAATTACCTCTCTGGACCCACTTCCCATTTTTACTGCCACCCTTCACTTTCCTAATAACCCTGCACTTCAGCTGTACCAAACTTCTCATTATTCTGAAATACCGCTCTTCTGTCTAAAATTCCTTTCTCCCAGCACTTTGGGAGGCCGAGGTGGGTGGATCATTAGGTCAAGAGATCGAGACCATCTTGGTCAACATGGTGAAACCCCGTCTCTACTAAAAATAAAAAAAATTAGCTGGGCATGGTGGCATGTGCCTGTAATCCCAGCTACTCAGGAGGCTGAGGCAGGAGAATTGCCTGAACCCAGGAGGCGGAGGTTGCGGTGAGCCGAGGTTGCGCCATTGCACTCCAGCCTGGGTAACAAGAGCGAAACTCCGTCTCAAAAAAAAAAAAAAGAAAAAAACAGAAAATTCCTTTCTCAGCACCAACCTCCATTTTTTTTTTTTTTTTGAGATGGAATCTCATTCTTTAGCCCAGGCTATAGTGCAGTGGTATAATCTTGGCTCACTGCAACCTCTGTCTCCTAGGCTCCAGCAGTTCTCCTGCTTCCTCCTCAGCCTCCCGAGTAGCTGGGATTACAGACATGCACCATCATACCCAGCTAATTTTTGTATTTTTAGTAGAGATGGGGTTTCGCCATGTTGTCCATGCTGGTCTTGAACTCCTGACCTCAGGTGATCCACCTGCCTTGGCCTCCCAAAGTACTAGGATTACAGGCATGAGCCACAGTGTCCAGCCTCCAATATTTTTTTTTTTTTACTGGCAAACTGCTGTGCATCATTTAAAACCAAGATCAATTTGATTGTCTTCCGTGTGAAGTCTTTCCCAGCTTTCCTAAAGGGAGTAATTCCTTATCTGTGCTCTCACAGAACCAGGTTTACACCTAGTGTGTCAGCTAGAATGTAAACTCCACCAAGGTGGGGATTGTCTGTCTGTTCTTCTAGCACTTTAAGCAATACCTGGCCACCTCTTATTAGTCCTTGTCTTCAGAGAGCTTGGTTTTCCTAAAAACAGGGTGAGAACATTAAGCAAAATATTATAACTTAGGATATATATCTTTGAAACTGGAAAAGCAATGACA